ACTTTGCGCGTGATTACGGGAACGACACAAGATCCGTCTACATGCAGAATTTCTCCCTCCTTGCACGCAGTAGTACCGTTGGAACCACTGGTGGATGCTTCATTACTGATAATAGTTTCTTTTAGAGTATGTACTCCTTCAGTGTGTCCTGCATCAAGGGCTGATGTCTGTGGAGCTTCAGCAGAAACTCCAACACCAACGGACTGTTCTCCGACAGGTGAGAAGTTAGCAGAAATTGCAGGTGAAGAAGAAAGTTCCAGAGTGGAGGTTGCAGAACCAAGTTGCAAGCCGGGGCGGGACGGGGCAGTCAGACTATATCCCTGGGGAGCAGCAAACGCTGCAGTAGCAAACAGCGAGATAACAACCTGCAAGATTAATAATCGTGAATAAAGAGTGAGGCCAAAATATCCATACTGAGTTTCTACAAGGTTTATCTTTCAGTGTAATATCAGTAAAAATAATAATAATAATAATAATAATAAATAAATTAGATAAATATATATATATATATAGAGATATATATATATATTTTTATATATATATATAGAGATATATATATATATATGTGTGTGTGTGTGTGTATATATATATATGCATATATATATATGTAATATATATATATATACACACACACACACATATGTACACACATCCATGTGTATGTATATATGTATATACATATATATGTATATATATATATATACGTCTGTGTATGTATATATATATATATTTTTATATATATATATAAATATATAATATATATATAGATATAGATATATATATAGATATATAATATATATTATATATTTTTTATACATATGTATACTTATACAAATATTTGTATATATGTATATTTACGTATATATATATATGCATATCTATACATATATACATATACATGTATATATGTATGATATATATATATATACTTACACGCATTTACCTACTCATACACGCACACATACAAATGCACAAACACACACACACACACACATATGTATACTGTATGTATTTACGTTTATATATACATATATATGTATACATATACACACACACATGTATATTTGATATATAATATAAACATTAATTTATCATAATATGTGTATATATGTATATACACATATACATATACACACATATAAATGCATGATATGTATATACATACATGTATATATATATATATATATATATATATATATATATATATATATATATATGTATATGTACATATACATATATATAATGCATACTAGTTATATATATGTATATATGCATATACATATGCCTACGTATATATACATATATACATATGTTTTATATGTGTGTGTATGTACACACACATATGTATATATACATATAGATATATAGATATGTATATATATATATATATATATATATATATATATATATATATATATATTAATACATATTTTTGTATATATACTTACATAGATGTATATGCATATATATATATATATATATATATATATATATATATATATATATATATATATATATATATATATATGCTGATATACATACAACTTTATACGCATACATATATATCATATGATATATATGTATATATATATGCATATGTGTATGTGTGTCTGCGTATGTATGTGAGTACGCGTGTGTCCGCATGTGTTTGTGCGTGTGCGTGTGTGTATGTGTGCGTGTGTGTATGTGTGCTTGTGTGTATGTGTGCATGCGTGTATATATGTGCGCGTGTATGTGTGTATCTGAATCGTAACAAAAATAGGACCCTGTTCAGCGTTCCTTAATCAAAGCATAACCCCTTATATAATTGAAAGAAGTTCCTCGGTTGGTAAATATATAAATATTCCGGACACATTGTCATGTGTTATGCAAAAATGAAATTAGTATAGGTGCAATACAGATATAATGAATAGTAACATAGTTTCAAAATTGAGGAGGGTGATAGCTAATGAGAAATAGATAATTTTCTGTTGGTCTATCACGCCGGTTATGAGGGCAGGGGGGTAGGGTGTATATGTGTCTACGTTAAGAAAGTAAATAAATGCAGTAAATTTTGGTAATTTCATTTTCCAAATTAATTTCAAATAATATGGTTTCTTTGTATGTGTACGTTTATTTTATGTTCGTGTGTGTATTTTTAAGAAAATTTGTATATATGACTGAAAAAATAAATATGAACAGCACATGAAAACGCATACTAATAACCACATTTAGACTTATGTAATGTATATATTTTTCTTGAATTTCCCATTAACGTCAGTATGCTAGTATTTATATCTTTTTCCGTTATTTTGTCGCTTTCAGATCCTAATAATAACCATCTCAGAAGTAAGTAGAATTGCAATGCCAAGAGGTTTTCTAGATATATAATGAACGTTGAGGAATCCTGGCATTATAGTTTATTTCTTTGCCGTAGATTTGGTTTGCTTCTCTCAATTGGCAGTCCTACTTGTTATATATTTGGAAATTTCTTTTTCTCTTATGAAAGCTTCGAAATCATAAACTGTAAGTCAGTAATATTAAAAAGATGTTTTTGCAGTAGGGTTTATTAATAAATATTATAAATAAAAGGTCTGCAGAGAATTTCGTTGCACATCAATTAAGGTGTGGTGTAAAGATTTGATGGAGCATCGTTACCACTGGCCCCTGAGTTTTCAGAAAGTATGTTAGCATCTGCTGATGGAGATTGTACGGATAGGTTTACACCAGATCCAAAAGCTAGTGAACCGGAACCAGTGTCATCAAAACCTGCGGCGCTACTTACGACCGTATTATTCTCAGCTGAACTACTCTCGATCACGCCAATGACTTCTCCGCCCGTTTCAGAAGCGGAGCCAAGAGCAGTAAAGAGGTCCACACCACCTGGAAGACTAGGATTTTCGCCTTCTTTATAATCCACAAAGTAAATCTCAGGTTCGGAAGGTGGAGGAGCCGGCACTTCGATGACGCGCTGTGTTTGTTCGTTTTGTTTGTTGAGAACATACACAATGTTGTTTTGCTTTGGTGGAGGAACAATAATTGGCTCAGGACCCTCGCCTGCTTCGGGTAGACGTACGAACAGAATGTTGTGTTCTACTTTTAGTGGCGGAAGTTCAGGCAAAGTAGAATTATTTTCTGGTTCTTGTTGAGGTACGTTGAAGACGAATACTTTGCGCGTGATTACGGGAACGACGCAAGATCCGTCTACATGCAGAATTTCTCCCTCCTTGCACGCAGTAGTACCGTTGGAACCACTGGTGGATGCTTCATTACTGATGATAGTTTCTTTTAGAGTATGTACTCCTTCAGTGTGTCCTTCTGCAGCAAGGGCTGGTGTCTGTGGAGCTTCAGCAGAAACTCCAGCACCACCGGACTGTTCTCCGACAGGTGAGAAGTTAGAGCCAAGTTGCAAGCCAGGGCGGGACGGGGCAGTTAGACTATATCCCTGGGGAGCAGCAAACGCTGCAGTTGCAAGCAGCGAGATAACAACCTGCAAGATTAACAACCATGAATAAACAGTGAGGCCAAAATATCACCAATTAATTTTCATGATATTTAACCCATTTTAGGCAAATATAGCGAAACATATGCCAGCTCTTACCAGAACATTCATGTTGGTGTGTTATAACGGATTAGGAGTGTGCAAGCTTATATATGTAACAGAATCCGCAACGTCCTTGAATCATGCCCCTTCGTTTCAGTATTTTGAACAAGTAATTTCAGGCATCATGAAGGTCGTCACGGTCATGCAGCCTGTTCTACTTTTGTTCTTAATGGGGACAGTGAAGATATAAAAGATAAAAGGGTAGGTACAGAGAACAGAGAGTAAAAAAAAGAAGAAGAAAAGTACCACTTTCCACTTTATATATATATTTATATATATGTCTGTGTGTGTGTGTGTGTGTGAGAGAGTGTGTGTACGTGAATATGTATATGCACACACATCTAAATCTATTATCTCTCTGATATATGTGTGTGTGCGTGCGTGTGTGTATATATAAATATATATACATACAGACAAACAGACACGCACAATATATATATATATATATATATATATATATATATATATATATATATATAAATATATATATAAATTGACTTATGTATGTATGTATGCTTATATATAGATACCTTAATATAGATATATGTATAAATACATACAAATATATATATATATATATATATATATATATATATATATACACACACAAACATACATACATACATAAATATACATTTGAATGTATATGCATATATACAGCTATACACATAAATACGCACACACACACATATATATGTATACATGTGTATATATATGTATATTATATATATACGTATTCCTATATATATATGTATCATCATTCCTAGTCTTTCGATCCTCACTGCAGTATCCTATCACCTTTTTAATCGAAAGATGTCTCTCGAATCAATCACTAGATGTTAAAGGTAGGAATCTTCCGAACCCACTGTTACGTACTGTGTTAAAGGATATTGATACAGATGTACTATAGATACACTTTATATTAACACCGTTTTGCAAATAACAAATATGATTCTCTGTCAGTTACGTTAAAAGTTGTATTTCTTTTTTTCTTTTCTTTTTTTTGAGCATACTTGGGAGGTATTATGTTAATATGGACAATGGGTTCACTGAAGCAAATACTAAATAAAACTGGAAAAGTGACTACTTAACCGCAACGAATTTCATAATAATCGCTATGATCATTGTGTTCTTAATGAAAGAGTGCAGTCCACAGAAATAGTTTTTTTTTTTTTAAGAATTTTACTTAAAAAATGGCATGTTTATGTAGTGAAAACATGTAAATAAGGGGATTTTCTAGTATTTTCATTTTATAGAACATATATATATATATATATATATATATATATATATATATATATATGTTTAAGTATCTATGTATGTGTTTGTGCACACACTTGTGTGTGTGTGAATACAGAAGCATGTATTTGTATGAAAATGATACAAATATGTATCTACCTTTGGTGTGTGCTCATATATTACATTGGAATATTGATATCATCTTTACTGTTGCTTTTCATAATATATCCCTCTCCTTGTTGCTCTTCATAACACAGATTACATAAAAAAAACTAGAGCAAAGGTTACATAACCGTGACGACCTCAATAATGACTGTTATTATTTGTTGTTCAAAATACCGAGAAAAATACACAATTCGAGCTTGACATATATAAGCATACAAAGCCTCCGTTATATTTTCTCGCTATCATGAAGATCTTGGTGAGTCCTGCCGTATTCTCAGATTGTTTTCTCAGCGTTTGCTGTTGCAGCTGTTACCCTCAGGGTAATAGTTTGACTGCTACGTCCAGGCCTGCAACCCATTTCGACACTATCTGCCCCATCACTAACGGAGGACAATCAGTTAATGTTGGAATACCGAGTAATGCTGGGGTTTTCACCAGAACTATGTAAACAACTGTTCTTGCGGCCATAGTCGACACTGTAGGAGTTAATTCTTTCAAAACCATCCTTAATGAGCCATCCACAAGTGATTTTAGTACGGCTGGTGTTGAGTGTAAAGGTGGAGAAATTCGGCATGTAGATGGATCTTGCGTCACACCCGTAATCACGCGAAAAGTATTCGTTTTCGATGTACCTCAAGAGCAGCCAGAAACTAACTCGTCTTTGCCAGAGCTTCTGCCACCGAAAGTAGAACATAATATTCTTTTCGTACGACTACCTGAAGCAGGAGAGGGTCCTGAGACAATTACTGTTTCTCCTCCAAGACAAAATAACATTGTGTATATTCTCAACAAACAAAGCTTCTCCACCTCCGAACATGAGATTTACTTTGTGGATTACGAGGAAGGCGAAAATCATAATTTTCCCTCCTTATTGCTCTTCTGAAACGGGCGAAGAAGTCACTGTTGTAATTGAGAGCAACACAACTGATGATAACATCGTCGTTGCTGGCACTGAAGAAGACCTTAGTGGGGCTGGTTCTGGTGCGTCTAATGAAGTTTCTGGTGTTGGTTTGCTCCTTGATGGACAGTCTCATTCAACATGTGCCAACATGATTTCTGAAAACACAGAGGCTACTGGTATTATTGGACTACCAGTTTTTACAATACTCCATAATGGGTTGTGCTAGAATCTTAGAAGGTCCATGTATTTATTACATTTCATAAAGAATACAAGAGAAACGTCTTATCTCAATATCCTGAGAGTTTTACAAAATCCCGCCTATATTAAATAGGAAAATTATATATATATCATATATATATATATATATATATATATATATATATATATATATATAATATACATATATATATATATATATATATATATATATATATATATATAAAGGTAAACAAATATTTTCTGTTGCCAATCTCTAAGACAAGGAAAACGAGTTAAGAGAGAGAGAGAGGGGGGGGGGGGGGTTTAGAGGGAATTGTATATCGGTTTCCGTAGTGTATCAGATATTGTGATTTAAGACGCCGTTAACAATTTCTTAAGTGAATACTGACTGGAAACTGTATGAAAGGATTCTCACAACTACTCACTGCCGTACTAAAAGCTACTACGCCTGGGAAAGCAAATGCAGCATCGGCTTTGCAATTACCGGGAACGTCAGTAACGCCTTTGCTCTTGGCACTGTGTAGGACCCCAACGCCACGAAGGGCGTTAGTTCTGCAGTTTAATATGGAAAATTGTAGGTTACTACTATTATCTTTATTGTCATTGACGGTTGTCATGATGATATGATAATAAAACTGAAAGTAATGATAATAATAATGATAGACAATAATAATAACACAAAACATCTATAATGGTTATAATAATAATAAGAGTTCTATTGCTATAGTCAAAAACAGTTAACGATATTCCTACAATCAGTACTGCATCTGTGAAAAGAAAATGACTTGGTCTAGTTCCTTCACCCTGATCCAGATTCCGTGTTCTATTTTCGGTAATGGTACAAGAGCATCATTTTTTTACCGAATGATTTCCTGTAACGATAAAAGTTCCATCCACATATTCCTCTCTGACCTTGCAGTCAATTTTCAGAACTTTGAACTATGCTGAGAACAACAGTACTAGGAACAAATGGGTTATTGGGTTATTACAGTTGTAATGGAATATTTCCGAATCGGAAGTAAATGAGGCTTTATTGATAGCCGCCCTTTTTATTTTTACTTTCTTTTATGATTACTTCAGTTTTCTTAATAATTATTTTATCA